ATGTATACACTCAAGCGACTGCGTTTCTGTGCCTTTGTGCAAACAGATCTCACACTTAGAATGTGCTGAATGGCATTCGACCTTCTTTATATATGTCAGATACATTTTGCTATATGTCAGATACATCATGCAAAAATCCCAAAATCTGGATCGTTTCTGTCTCAACTAAGGACGTGTCACTTGTTCTTTTTGCCAAATGGTGGCGCACTTGCGCTTTCCTTTGGCCTTCTTTCTGCTGTCCACATTAGCGACCTTGCGTGTATACTTCGATCTCTTCTTTCTTTGTTTCAAGGATTTCACAACAACAGGATCAGCAGCTCCATACTCTGGGGCCGGCTGCTTCCGCTTCAAGCGGCGGAGAATGGGCTTCTCAGACTCACAACTGGTTCCAGCTGTTTGCCAGGCACCGCGGCAACAAACCAAGGATGCAAGGGTCACTGCCTGAGCCACGGTTGAGGAAAAGGAGTTCCCTGCCAGCTCTTGAGCAGATGTTTCAAGCATTGTGTCATACACATGGCTGTTGAAGCAAGATCTCCATAACCCCTGAGCGTTCAGAAAGTCCTGCGGCCCCAAATACCTCTCAAGACGTTGACTGTAAATGGCGTGCGTAGGAGTCACACAAGGGCACACTCCATCTGCAAAGGTGGTGCGTTTGAGAGACGCTGAACAGTCGATGAATAGATTCTTGGAAGTCGGCCTCGCAACCTGAGCCTTCTGCATGAGCTTTGTGTGGCGGCCAGCTTGCAATGCCTGTGTCGGTGCGTGTGGAAAGTTCAACTCCATAGGAAACTGCATATTGCTTCTCATTGAAGCCAGGAGCAGCTTGTACTCATCTTGAATCTCTTTCTGGCTTTGGTGCCCAGTGATGATCGAAGCAATGCCCCACACCCGCTGTCTTCGTTGTGGAAGCAAAAAGTCTGGTGAATCTAGAATGTCATAGACCTGAAATGCGCGCGCTTGGCAGAATGTCCCAAACAGTGTCAAGCTGAGAAGAGGGCCACTTCTCTTATATATTTGTTGCATCTCTATATATGTTGAGTATACATTTGCGTGATGAAGCCAGCATGTTGTCAACCTGTTATATAGCCACTCTCACCACACTCCCACACATACCAACACACGTCCACAAATTCCTTCACACGCTTAACAAAAAAAGCTGGTTCCAGGTAGACAAGACACGAAATGATAGCCCAATTCCAAAACGTCTTGCTCCACTGTCTTCACAGGTGGTTGCACAGGAGGGGCATCCTTTGGGTATGAAAACTCTGCTGCAGCACGCACATTCTCGAACACAGCCAATGCTGGAGATAAATTGCGAAGTACCTGAGCTGCAAATGCTCTCTCACAAGACCTTGGTCACATGAATCCCCAAGAATTATACCAGCATAGACCCCAAACAGCGTCAGCATTTTTCTAAGATAGAACCCCAACAGTAAACTGTTTGGTGAAAAATGAAATTGGCAACACAGTTAGAATGCGCGCACAACTGAGTTGAGACACGTTCTTGAATCCGTGCTTGTATGTCGGACCAGAGGTCCCTGGAGTGTCTTCATCATCACTTCCTTGGTAACACCCGTAGTAGCTTCCACGGTCGGCGTTCAGCTTGCTGAGGTTCTTGCAGCTTGGACCGCAGAACAACACGTCTATGGGACATGTGCTACTGTCTATGTTGTGCACTGTCCTGCACACATAGCAGTATCCACGCTTTGCGGAGAAAACGTCAACATTGTCGAAGCAGCGTTGGAGTCCAGTCTCCATTTGAAGGATTAGGTTCCTTTTCTTCTCATTGGACTCGCAACTGAAGATGTGAGCAACTTTGACTTGCTGACCCTGCAAGGCAAGGGGCAAGGAGCTCAAAAGAGGACTACCACCCATTTCTGAGGTGTCCCTATTCAAAGTGAACAATTTCTGGGCAGAATGCTCTATATATATATATTATATATATAGCGCTCTTGATTTAGACCTGGGTGTATAATAAAGGACTCAAAACCAGTCTGATAAATGCAAAAGACTCAAAACCCGTCTGATAAATGCAAATGCATTCGTCTATTCATGCGCGCGTGTGTGTTTGTGCACTTGAATCGGGCAGCGGGGCCTCACACCCACCGAAAAAACGTTGCCAACTGCTTCATGACGGCCACCACAATGTCTGATCCACTGCATGTTGTGCCCAGCCGTATGGTCTTTCCCATGAGATTCTTGACTTGGTCCGCCAATAAATGCTGCTGCTCCGGCGTGCATCGGTGAATGAAAAATTCAGCCGTCTCTGCCAAGGACAAGCTAGCAGGACCCTTCGAGGCAGGTCCAGGACTCAACAGGCTTCTCGCCAACTTAAATGTCCTGTTGGGGCGCCGGCTTGGTACCCACCAAACCCGACATGCTTCTGAAAAGACATCAATATCAGAGAAGCTCCAAGCCCACAACAATTTGTTGCCCCTGAAGGATCTTAAACACTGCCTGGAGTACACTTGGTTCCACTTCGGGTCAGAATCCGAAGGCATCTTTGCGAGCTGTTCAATGCATCTGATCACGACTCTGCCCACCAAATCATAGCCTTCTGTGCTCCGGACTAGAACCAGAAGAGAGTCATCTTTTGTTCTGAAAGGGCGAATGATGCAATTTGATTCTTTGCACAGAGCAAACCATTCTTGATCCAACATCACCACGCATGTAAGCCTTGGATCCCCCTCAAGGGATTCAGCACACATATCCACATCAATGATCCCGTCCTCCAACTCCATCTCGTCATCCAGCGCTTCCATGCCTTTGTCATCTTGCTCATCAAGATGATTCTGGCTTGTCACGTGCCTTTTCGCTGGTGGAGGGGTGGCTTCAAGGAATGACCCTGTTCTGCTTCGACTTGAAGACTGCTGGGTGTCGGATGAAATGACAGTGGAGGAGGAACCATGGTGCTGCACAATGTTTGGTGGACACTCCTGCCAGGTTGCAAATGGTACACATTCTAAGTGTGCATATACTGTTTGTTTCATCTCTCTCTATATATATGTGCAGTATCTGACATTCTATATAAGTGTTTGTTTGTTTCATTTGCAATATCATCATAACTTCCATGAATGTTTGTCAATCCCGGGTGTGGTTCTTGCGCACCTGCCAAAACAAAAAACACGTGTTCTAAAGCATAAGCAAATGTAAACAGGAATACCGCCAGATCTCACCCTGCCCTTGTGATTAGCGCAGCTATGAGAACAGAATTCCTCTTCCAAATCCCCCGTACAAACTCTGATCAGTACACTCCCGCGCAATATATATATATTATATATTACATATATATATATACACAGTATCTATACTCTATATATAGAGAGAGACGCAGGAAGGCAAGAAGTGAGCCATTATATATATATATATAAGCAGGTTTACAGGCAGCGTGCAAGAGCTCCGGCGGAAAGAGCATTGCTGCTTACCACAGATGGCTCAGAAAGCGTGGCTCATACCTAGATCCAACCACAATTCACGCGCTGCACTCCTTTCCTCTCCTATATATCCTTCCCAATTCCTCACACACATATATATATATACACATATGCATATCCTCCCTCACTTCTCCTCGTTGCATCCTCTTCAGGATTACGGCAACAGTGCATGCTGGTGGTGGCTGTTTTTTTGTCAGACATGGCCTCCTTATGCACTGGCATTCCTTTTGGAATTCCTAGTCCCAGTCACACCTACCCTGCAACCCAGTCCAGTCCTTGGCAACCAGTCTTTGTGTGTCCTGGTTTCACCCTGGGTGCCCAGTGAGGACCGAACACTCCTGAGGCCCTTTCGGATTCAGTGTGGGTGTTTGGGTGTGTGTGTGTGTGCACCTTGGATTCAATGGTATATATATATATATAGTCACGGACTGAAAGATAGAACCACGTCGGCTCGTACACAATGCTCCACCTCACACTTAGAACCACGTTCTCCGCGAGGAAAATCGCCTTTGTGGGATTTTGTCAGGTAAATATCAGCAAAATGGAGTGTCGCCCACCTACACTTAGAATGTGGGCTCGCCGGCCCAGGTTGGCCTGAATGGGGTAAGGGCCATGAATGGTGAATATTTCAATTTTAGTGCGGCATTCTAAGTGTGTGCATGATTGTGTGTAGAAAAGTTAACGGTTGGGAAAAAATAGCGGGCTGAAAGATAGAATTTGACGTGGCTCTAACTCGTGTGACCTAGACAGGGTTCTAAGTGTACACCTTCTACGGACGGACGGTCCACACGTAGGGGTTCTATCTTTCAGTCCGGAACTATATACATATATTACCGAGTTGTTTTTCCTACATTGCAGGGGGGCGGTCCAACGAAGAGGCTGCTATGAGTCACTGATATGGCTGGTTTGCGAGTGGCATGTGTGAGGCCCGTGTGAGGGTACCCTTTGTGGACTTGAACACCTTAAGATTTTGATAGAGTCTTAATAAGGGAAAATGAAAGAATTTTGCTAGAGAGTTTTTTGGGGATTGTGGAATAAAGATCCTAGATTGTAGCTCTAAACACTATATATATACATGTATACTGAGAGTTTCCCACAAGAGCGTTCCACAAGAGTGTTCTACAAGAGTGTCCTACAAGGGTGTCCCACAAGAGTGTCCTACAAGAGTGTCCCACAAGAGCGTCCTGCAAGAGTGTAGAGTGTCCTACAAGAGTGTTCCGCAAGAG